TTCGGTATTTTCAGGACCCGCCCAGGATCTGGCGGGAGGGGGTGGGGGAGAGGGGAGGGCGAGGGGCATCGTGTGGGAGGCAGGAGGGTGCGGGCAGAGTTCAGGGACCCCAGGCTAGCACTAATGGTGACCTCAGGATTTATCCCGTGGTGGCCACGCTCTCCAGACCTTTCCACGCACTGCTCAATTCGATGCTCCCAGCTGGCCTGTGAGGCAGGTGTTATCGTTGTCCCCGCTTTGCAGATGAGGACATCGAGGCACAGAAAGGTTAAAGCGGCAGAGCCAGGATCTGAACCTGGGTCTGTGGCAGTCCGTTGTGGAGAATATGTTGTGGAGAAACCAGATCTTTCTCTGTGTGTGTGTGGACAGGAAAAGAAGGAGAGGGAGGGACTTGGGTCACCCTGTCCGATCAGTTTGAAAACAACACGCGACAAACCCCACGTGCTTGCCACGGGAATCGCGACGTCTCCCGAGTGCTGAGCACCACAGTTCAAGCCTCCATCCGGGTCAGTTGGGGCCCAGAGTGGGAAGGGTTCCCAGAGGAGGTTACGGAAGCAGGAGTTGAAGTTGGCGAGAGGCTTACTTTGCTAACCAAGGATTTGCCAGCCCCGCCCTCACCTGCTTCCACACCAGGCTGCTTGCTTGCTGGGAACGGTGACACCAGGGGCCTGGGTGTGTGTGTGGCCGGTGGTGAGTGGACCATTCTACCCAGGAAATCCTCATGTGCCTGGCCTGAATGTTCAGATTGACTCAGAAGAGGAAACGGGCAGCCAAGTTTCACTTCTTATACAGAACAGACTCTTTGCTCTCTATAGGGTTTCTCAGGGGGTGTGGGTGTGGGTGTGGGTGGGCTGGAGGAATTCCTTGAAAGCCAGGCCCCTCCAGTGACTTGAGGACTTGATTCCAGGCCCTAGAATCCAGACAGCAGGATGGTGACTGCCGTCAGCAGTGCTGTTATGGGAGATCCTTTCCTGGGGAGTTTGGGGCGGGGGCCGTGGCTCCTAACCTGGATGGGCCTCAGAATCCTGTGGGAGCACTTGTAGATGCCCAGGCCACAGCCCGGACCTGTGGGGTCAGAATTTCCAGGGCTGTGGCCCCGGGACATCTGGGTTTTGGCAGACATCCCCGGGAAGATGCTGGGTTCTGGTAGGTGTGGAGAGAGAGGATCCCAAAGACCCTCCCACGAAGCCTATTCTTACTGCCCCACCCCCTGCCCTTCCCCAGGGACCTTCTGAACCAAGGATCCCCAGAAAACCACTCAGTGGCTCCCCTCTGTTCGTCCACTGCCTGTGCCTCAGTGTGAGAGATCTGGGTGCTCACCTCCTTGATCTGTGCCTCAGTTTCCACGGTGCTGGAATGGGTCAGCCATTGTCCCCTCCCTTCCCACTGGGAGCTTCCTTTCTGTCTTGTTGGCAGCCTCAGATGTGTCTGGTGTTTGCAGGTCCTCTGAGGATCTGGGGGGTTTGGATTTGGGTGGCAGTGGGGTGAGGTGCCTCCATTGAAGCTTCTCCATGATACTGAGGAAGAATTGTATCCAAGGAGTCAGGGGTCGGCCATGGCTGCATGCTCGACAGTGGGGGCGTCTCATAGGCGGTGGTGGGGGGGGGCTGTCTCGTGAAGGAGTGGGACTTGAACTCTGCTCCGAGGGGGTGCGAATAAGGATAAGAGACACAGCCTGCAAGGGCAGGAAGCCCCAGGCCTTTTGCCAGCTCCAGACCATTCCCTGGATTCCCTGGATGCCTTCTCTTCCTCTGTTCCTGGCTTTGTCCTCTGGGAGCCTTTCCATCTGCAAAGGTAGCTGGTGGTTACCTTGCTTCTGTCCATGTTCAAATCTTGGTGTTCGTAAATCCAAATTTTGTAAGCTTAAATCTCTTAACCTCCCCGTGCCTCAGTTTCTTCATCTCTAGAATGGGGGAAATAGTAGTAACTATCTTGTGGAGTTGTCATAAGGACGTGTAAATGACTACGGGTAAAAGTGCCTCGAACAGTGCTTTATCCGTTAGGGATAAAGCCCCCCCCCCCCCTTCTTGCTTTTGCTTGTGCGGTGCCCTCAGCCAGCAGCTCCCTCCTCTCCCCATCATTGGTAACTAACTGTCATCCTGAATTAAATCCAGAATCACAAATCTCTCCTTCCCTCCGCCCCAGCCATCTCTGACTGCCCATCCGAATAACTACTTCCTCCAAGCCCACCTCCCTCGACCTCCCTCTTTAGGCTCTGAGTTCTGAGTGGGCATAGGGTCTGGGCCCCCAGCTCCCCTGCCCTCGCCTCTGTCTCTACCCGCCTAGAAGGTGCTTAGTGAACTGAGTGTTGACCTGCTGGGAACTGCATGCCTCAGTGGAAAAGCATTGCTTGGCCTGACTTGCTGGGGGGCCTTGGGACGACTCCTTGGTGGGTGGGGGAATCCCTCTTCCCACCCTGGCGTTCTAGGAGTCCCCTGACTTGTGGTGTGACCTTCAGGGAGGGAGGAACAGATGAGAATCTGTGGGTGAGGCTCTCATCTGAAGAAGGAAGGTCCCCCTACTGTGTAAAAAAAATCAGCTAATTTGCTGCTTGAAAAAACAACAAAAAAGCATAAACCAACAATAACAACAACAAACTCACTAGCAAAGAGCCCGACCCAGTGTGTGTGTGGGGGGCAGCAGGGGTTCCTGGGGGTTGGGTGTGAGAGTGGGCCGAGGGTGGGTGCGTCCTGATGACAAGTGTCTGTGGGAGAGGCTAGCCCGGGGTCCACCCTGCCCCGCCCCCCTGCTCCAGTGCCCCACCCTCTGCTGCCTGGCCCGCCTTTCCCTCGCTCTCCCAGGGGAAGAGGGCTGGCCCGAGCTGGGTGCCCGCTGATTGCATCTGCCCAGTCGTTCTCCCCAACAGGGCCCTGCTCCCCATCTTAGGGTTGAGGCCGGCACAAGCATGCAGAGAGATGAGCTTTATTTCTGGAAGTCACACAGGCCCTGGTGGGAGGGCCAGACTTGAACTAGGAGACTCCAGGGGCCCGTGCTTGTGCTGTGAGCTGGGCAGTTGGCTGGAGATCAGGGCTGCTGGCCTGGGTAAGCAGAGTGTGGCTCCAGCCCCCTCTGAGGTCCCGGTTGGGCCTCGCAGGTTGGCTTATGGCA